GTAATGAGGCCCCAAACTAGAATTTTTTTTTCTTGGGCCACAAGGCGTGTTGATATAGGGCGATGTTAAAATCTTTTCCAACTTTAGTCATATATGTAAAACTGAGCTAATAGTTATATAAAAAATTAACTCAAAATAAATTTTAACAAGGTTACCTCAAACTTACTCTAATACTTTGTCCTGTTTATTACTTCCGAGGAGATCAGCCTGTGAGCATCGATAATGAGCTCCTCTTACATAAAAAATCTAAAATTTTATCCCGATATAACAGATTAAGGATAAAAAGGACCATTGGTGCATTCACAAAGAAATCGAATGTACTTCTTATTTCTTAATCCTCAACCTTGAACTCACCATCTTTATTGGCCTTCTATTTTTCAAGGCATAGGAAGAGTAGCTTTTAATTTTTTATTGAGCTTAGACAATCAGTGAGAATCTTTTTATTTCGTTGAGCTGTGATATGAAACCACCTACTATCATTATAATGCTTTTTAAGATAGAAGAATTTATTGAATAGAGGGAAAAAATAAAGAATATTTAAATGTTGATAAAGAATAATAAAAAAGACTATGTACTGAACGAAAGTTAGGGTGAGCTAAGTTATGGTTAAATTATAAGAATTAAAAATTAGAAATAAATAATGGATATAGTGGAAACCTTAGACCGACCATGAATGAATCCCAATATACGTAGATATAATATGGCTCTAGTCTATTAATGACCTGATTTGAAGAGTTCGACATTATTATATTGTACCCTTTCTATGAGAAAAAGAAAAGTGAAACCCAAAGCTCAAACGTGATGAACCGAGCATATGTTAAGACTATCTTCAAGATTTGCTCTTTCTTTTAGCTTGTTCATCACGTCCTTAAGGATCACATCAAGGTCACATAGAGTATATACATAGATTTTGATGAGTTCATCTTGCTCTATAAAACTCTTTCTTTCATCGTCACTTTTTTTGATCGAGGTATTCCCTTCCTTTTATTCCTCATTAGAACCTTCATGTCAGAATAATCTAATTTTTAGGTAGGAGATGGATCTTAAAGAAAAATAGTGGATGAAAATAGCTCAATCCCAAAGAAAAAATGACAAGGTGAAAACCTCTTAAGAGAGGATAAAATATCAAGAAAAATTGATTAAGGGGAAAGAGTAGAAGTGGCATAAGGTAGAGAAGATTGAACCCCAGAAGGGAAAATAACTGAAGAGGAAGAAAGATCAATCATAGAAGATGGATAGACTTGAGATATGAAAAAAGTAAATGGATTTTGAAGTTCGAAGTTGATTTGAGCACATAGCTCTTTAGTGTTCAAAACTCATTCACATCATCCTCGAGCATTCTTTTTATTACACCACTGCCCTTATACATCGGGTTGAACCAATAAGCCATTTTTTCATAGTTGTGGTCCCTAATAATATGAGAGATCAGGTTATCAACATGCTGCTTTTACGAGCCTCTTTTTAGCTTTACCCTATAACTTTCAGTCTCTTCAGAACTTATACTAGAAGACATGGTTAGAAATATATACTGAAGTAGGTATAAAAAAAACTTGAAAGGGTGAAAAGCTATTAAAATAAAAAATTTTAGGTTAGATTCAAAGCAAAGAAAGTAAAGGGTGAAAGGCTAAAGCCTTATCAGCCTATATATATAGACATGCTATAAACTGATGAATGACAAGATCCTCACCAAGTGTACAAGATCCTCGCCAAGTGTCAAAGATTGGATGGGTATATGTTTTTTTATTTTTTTGCTTTAAACCTTCTTGCTCAAACCACCTCTCTTTTCATCTAATGCTGTTAAACTGGTCTAACTAGTCAAATCCTAGATTAGACCGACTGAATCAGATAATTGTCAGGGGTAAACTGAAAGCTCGATTTATTTTTAAAGCCCAAAATAGAGGTTCAAATCTAAATTTTTGAAAGAAAACACAAGTCTCACCATAGCCAAATGAACTCCAGCAATAACCTCGAACCACCTCAGATAATTATCACCTCGATAATCCCTAAATTTGTTATACACTTAATCCTGAACACATGCGTGAGATCGGACTATGGGTTAAAGCTAGTCATCATCCAAAATCGACCTCATTCTACAACGTCAGCCTTTGATGAACTATGCAGCCAACTTACCCCACTCCAGGAATGTCAGTAATAAATTTGACCATATAATATTCAAATTGCTTGATAGGAGACAGTGTTCAAGGCGTTTGATGGTAAAAAAGTCATAGTATTTTTTTTCCTTTCAAAGCCTTCAGCAGACAACCAAAGGTATCTTGGTCATTTATGCTGAACTGACATATTAGGTTGATCTAACATGGTTAGTGTTATTTCAGCTCAGTCCTATCATGATTGTCCCTTTTTTGTCCTCTTCAACTTACCTATAAATATGAAAACTTAGGCATCATGAAGTTAGATTCATCTAATTCATATCTTTCTCTCATTTTTACTTTTTCACTTCCTTTTTAACCTAATTTTTATTGATTTGTACGTCATAGTGCAAATGCAATGAACACTTCTTATCTTTGCCTCTAACTATTCTTTCTTTCTACATTTATAAGAACACCCTTAGATCAGAGCTCGACACTAACAACTTTATTCCCAGGTTTAAATACATTGGTTTGTTTTTATTTGAATACTATATATAATATAGGAAATAAAAGAAAATTCAATGATGCATATAACTTTGGCGGGATGGAAGTTGCCAAAAATTTACACATTGGCACTTTTTCAACTCCCAAATCCATTTAACGAAGAGTTGTTGATGCATCAAGAATTAAAACTTGTAGAGAAACTTTTTTTTATACAAAAAAAATTTAAAATAAATAAGTTATTCAATTTTTAAGTTAAAATTAAATATATTTTATTTAATAATTTAAAATAAATAATTATAAATTATGTATTTCAAATAATTTTAATAAATAATTATTAATAAAATTTAAATCTCAAAATTTTTTTATCAAAAAAACTAACTTTAACCATTTGAACTATCTACCTATCGGAAACTTGTAGAGGAATTCGAAGAAACTAATCGTGACAAAGGAAGGACGAACAGAGTGAAAAATTATTAGCCAAAGCAGCCGCGGACAAAAATGTTCCAATTCAATTATAGGCCGTGCTATCTTGTTCTGGAGCATGGAAAAGTTTGTCCTCCTCCTGTTAATTATTTCCTCTTCTGACAGGAGATTAGGAAAATTTACATACCGACAACCCGTTCATAATCATATAGCTAGTAAGAAGGGAGGTAGCTAGTTCTTAGGGGTAGTTTCTGAGTTCTCTCACATTGTCGGAATGTTGTTCATCAAATGGGGTTAAAGTATGAAAAAAAAAAAAAAAACAATTATCCCAATCGATATTAGAAAAACGGGGCAAAAAGAGATTTCAAGCTCTTACGAGTGAAGTTGAATGACTGATTCCAGGGTTCTGTTGTGGGTAACTAAATAGGAAAGTAGGATCATTATATTTCTTTATTTCCATTTCTTTGCTTCATTCTAATTTTCTGTACTAGTAATACAAATTAAAAAGCAATTTGATCAATTATTTTATTCAAAAAGCAGTTTCAATTTTATTTGGTTGATTTTGATTTTGAGACAATGAGATCTTAATGCAATAATAAGGCACAAAGTTGGGACCTTATATCTAACTTATATGTTTTTTATAGTTATTATTGTTTGTGAAAAACAATTGGATTTTATAACAATGAAATAAATTTGACTTGTTTTGAACTTTTATTATTTTGTGTTTGAATGTGATGAATTTAAATTATTAATTTTTTTATTATATAAATTAAATTGAGTCAAGATAAATTTTAAAATTCGTATCAACTTTATTAATTAGACATGAAAATCATATATTAATAACACGGGTAATGAACAAAGATTTAAAAAAATGAACAGCAACAGCTTATTATTTTAAGAAGCAAAACGTACGCTGTCTCTTTTATTATTTTACTCTCTTTTTTGTCTCTTTAAGGTGGGTGGCGTGGAGGTCATTGTTTATTACATTATATTGGGCGGCAGTGTAATAATATAAAAGGGGAAAATGATGTCGTGACAGGGGCATTCGGGGTCTTTCGCATTAGAGTTGGGAAGATGCCTTGAAGAACCAATCCATCCATCAAAACCCAAAATCGGACGGCTCTTACAACGTCTGTGAGCCAATGTTCCAGTCACTTTAGCACTCATTTGTTAAAGCCAAAGAGCTGTCAAGTTTCAAGATGATGGGATGTTGCCATTGACTTTTAGAAATTGACATTGTGTTATATTAACGTGCAGCCTTCACCCCAAATGGCTCCTTCGTATATCTATCGTCATCCTGATCATATATGTACTATAGTTTTCTTACAATTTATAATCCCGAAACTCTCGTTTCTTCTCCATCTTCTTCTTTTATCAGCAGCTAAGTTGCTAGGCGCCTGATTTGCCCTTTTTTCTTCCTTCTATATCTCTTTCATTTGAAGCTGGATTGGTTCGTTTTCGCTCATCCTTAACTATACTTCATAAAAACATTTGAAGCATGTAAGTTTTGCCTTTCCTAGTTCAAATCCTTTTCCAGAAAAAAAAAAAAAAGTTTCTGTTTTGATTTTCTGTGCAAGTACTTGATGCTTTATCTATCTAGCTAATTGTAGTTTGTAATGTGGCTATCGTCACATCTCAAATTCCTTGGCCGCACTTTTATAAAAACCTGCACAGCATTTAATAAATAAAAAAATTATTTTTTATTTAAACTTTTAATTTTTTAAATTTTAAAATATTAATTTTATTTTAAATACACATATTTGAAACAAAATGATTATTTGATTAAATAAAAAATAATTATACAAATTATCATATGTTTTAATAAAAATTTTATGACTATTTATTATAAATAATTTTTTTATCTAATCAATTTTATTATTTTTTATTTAAAAATTTGAAAATTTTGTTATATCAATAGTTATAATTACTTTTAAAATAATATTTTTCACTTTTCAAAATTATTATTTTTATTATTTTTATTTTCTCAAAATTTTTTAACACCATTAATTCTTAAAAAATCAAAAAAAGAAAAAAAAAAGGATTTTTTAAGAGAAAATGCCTGATGGGACTGGAACCCCTACGGCGTCGGCACCGGCAACTCCGGGAACGCCAGGTGGACCGCTGTTCACGTCCATGAGGGTGGACTCGCTGTCGTATGATCGGAAGTCAATGCCACGATGCAAATGCTTTCCGGTGACTGCCGCAACGTGGGGTCAACCTCACACATGCTTCACTGATTTCCCTGCACCAGACGTCTCTCTTACCCGCAAGGTTCTATCTCTCTCTCTCTCTCTCTCTGTGTCCCTCAGTTCAGATAATTAATTTCTGTTCCTATTAGTGGAGTATTCCGTCAACTAGAATGGGTACTGCTACGGCTATGCGTTTTATTGCTATACGCGCCAAAGCCTTTGCAGCAGCAGGAAGCCCAAGTTGAGAGAAAGGGTTAATTTCTGGCAGAATCATTAGCCAGTAATGATTCGTTTGCAATGTTTCACTGGAAATTATAATAATGCGGCCGTTAGCAGTAACAGGCTAAGAATTTTTTTGTAAGCAATCGTTCCAACAAAAAAAATAGTGTTATTATCATAGTAATTAAGTAGAGTTCATTCAAATTTGAACCCCATTTAGCCACTTTTTATGCCTGCATATCGGTAAATAAATCTTAGACTTTATCCACCGAAAGCCCATGTTCTGACTTGTTTGTCATATATCATGATCATAAATTAAATTGTTTCCGCACTTGTTTCTTCATTTTCTTTGAAAGGAAATTATGCGATGCAATATCATTTTCCCTTTTATTTTGGAAAAATGAAACGAAATGAAACTCAGTAATTAATCAAAATCGAACCCGATAAGATGCTAGCTAAGAAGTACTGCACTGCGAAGTTCGTCCTATAATGGATGGGAAGAGTAGTAGAGTTTGGAATTCTTATGAAACTTATGGGAAGAGGCCTTCTTCCACTTTAGAATAGTGGAAATTGGAAAGCAAAGACTTTAGCCAGCAAACGAGGGTTTTACATTTTTAATTCCATAGAGAATGAAAGCCACCGACTCTTACTTTTAGTGGTCTCCTTTTTTATTTATGCGGGCGGTACGTAGTGGCCTGTGGAGGGTCACGACTCCTCAAGAGTTGCAAGAGAAATTCCAGAAGTAGTTTGATCTAATTAATTACCTAAGATAAATTAATGAATGTTAAAGTACATAATTGTTTTACTATATCATTTTCCTGTGATTGGTTGTTACAAGCCTGAATCGCTTTCCATAAGCACGGGCATGAACTGTATCTAAATTTTGAAACAAACTAGTAGAAATTACAATGGTATGGAAATGGCTTTATGCAGCTGGGAGCAGAATTTGTGGGAACCTTTATCCTAATTTTTGCGGCTACAGCGGGACCAATAGTGAACCAAAAGTATTCTGGAGCGGAGACACTGATAGGAAATGCAGCATGTGCAGGGCTGGCTGTTATGATAATAATTTTATCAACCGGACACATCTCTGGGGCTCATCTTAACCCTTCCCTCACCATTGCATTTGCTGCCTGTCGTCACTTCCCATGGGCACAGGTTCCAGCATACATAGCCGCTCAGGTTTCGGCCTCCATTTGTGCTTCTTTCGCTCTCAAGGGAGTCTTTCATCCCTTCATGTCTGGTGGCGTCACTGTCCCCACCGTCAACTATGGACAAGCTTTTGCACTCGAGTTCCTCATTACTTTTAATCTTCTCTTCGTTGTCACTGCCGTTGCCACTGACACCCGTGCTGTACGTTGTCTTTGCTCTGTCACTGCTACAATTCGATCTTTACCATCTACTTACAACCCTATGATATCTTTATTCTCATGAACAGGTTGGAGAGCTGGCGGGCATAGCGGTTGGGGCGACTGTCATGCTTAACATTCTTGTGGCAGGGTAATTAATACTTTTTGCTTCTTTTGCCCCCTTATCAGATTCCTAATTTATCTTCCCAAGTTTTATTTCTTTTTGATCCATTTTCGCTTATGCTTAGAACATGTCACAATTACATTTAATTATTATTTTATTTATTTTGTCTTAACTTGATTTTTTTAATTTTAAACACAATTTTGATGCACGCTTTGAAACGAATATCATATTCTTTGATTATATTTATATACAGGGCTTCTTTTTGTTTTTATTTTTTCAACATAAAGATGTTAAACTTTACTTTGGTGTAAACAGACCCCAAATGTAGAATTTTAATGATCAAGAAATGTCAAATGATATAGATTTTTTAAAACCTTTTTATACATATTTTTTAAAACTTTACTCTAGGGTTAAACGTCCATGGTATTTAATTCTCATAATGTTCATTACTTTACTCAATATGTATACGCTTTATATATATATATACATTTTAATGTAATAATCTATGAAATAGTATAAAATATAATCCGAAATTCCTAGACATATATGGATAGAGCAGCTAGGCTTAGGTCGACAGCAAAGATAATTGATAGAAAGACTAGAGGTCTGCTTTTGGTGTCATTCAAAAAAAAGTAGCTAACAAATGATCCAAATAGTAGTGATAATAATTTATGTTTGACCTTGTTTGCAGGCAAAGTAGTGGGGGTTCAATGAATCCAGTGCGGACTTTGGGGCCGGCTGTGGCAGCAGGAAATTATAAGGCATTATGGATTTACTTGATAGCACCCACACTGGGTGCCCTGGTTGGTTCTGGCACATACACTTTGGTGAAGCTCCGAGAGGAAGAGGCTGAAGCACCACGGCAGGTCAGGAGTTTTCGACGCTAGCTTTGAAGTCCAAGATAGCAATCATATCATCGTTGAAGGCAGAAATTTGATAGTTTACGTATAGTTTTTCTTCTTCTAATGTCTCTTTCTATGAAAGCATATATGGTCGTTTGGTTGTGAGTGGGGTAAGGATAAGACAGCTTTGGAGGAGAATGGGCAATGTGACTATAAGTCCACGCCCTACAGTATGATTGAATAATCTTGTCCTTGCTTCTTTATTCTATATGGTTTTTGGACATGAATGTGATTGGCATTTCCTTGTCTGTTTTAATTATGCATCGTTCAATAATTGGACTTTGATTTGTAATTTTCCTTGTGATGTTTTGATTTATAGTGTCAATAATGTACGCTATCATAGGCAAAATAAATGAATAAAAAAAATAATAATATATCTTTATCACCTGTGATATTGTTTAATTAAGAGTATAGTTGGCAAAATCCAAAATTATTATTTATTTAAAAAAATCTGCATATTAAAAAAATTATAGATATTAAAATTTGAAATAAAATTTTGATAAATATTATTTTTTAAAAATAATTATATAAATTAATTAAATTAAACTTTGGATTGATATTGTTATTATTTACTTTAATTTCTACTTTATCATCACTTGGTTTTAGTATATAAATTAATTAAATTAAACTTTGGATTGATATTGTTATTATTTACTTTAATCTCTACTTTCTCATCACTTGGTTTTAGTCTAAACCCAAGTGGCAGGTAGCCATATACAGTAGTTAATTTGACACAAGATTTCATGGTCAAAATTTTTTCATGATCTTCTGCATTTAGTATTGTTAGAATACAAAACAACTATTTTTTTAGGAAAGTATATAAAACAAATTAGTACTGAAAATAATCGATTTAATTGGCAAAAAATAAAAGTACGATTTCATTGCAAAAAAGGACTGATGGGCGATAGCACTCTATGTTTCCAGTCCATGAGGTGTCATGGTCAGGTCCTGGTATACCTTAATCCTACCATAATTGATCTTGAGTTGAGCAGCAAATGAGATCTTATTTTTAAGATAGTGGTCTTGAAGTTGTTACGCGGGTATTTTAAACACAAGGAATATGTTGCTGATATTACGTGCGGACAGTGTGAGTCATAGGTCTCAAAATATGTAGATAAGTGTTAGTTAGTAGACAGGTGTCTTAGAGTCGGTTAGCTAGTTGAGTGCTATTGAAGTTGTGTATGGACATCTTCAAGTGGATTGATAGAGTAACAAGTAAAATGCTAGAATTATGGTGATTAAAAAAAGGTCATTGAATCCTAAGTTGGGTGAAGAAAGGCATGAGATGATTGCGAAAAAAAATACTCATTTTAAACAACTTTACAATTTTTGATAGGAGGGTAGAAAAAACTTTTATGGTTTTTTATAAGAGAATGATTGGTGTCAACTTTTCATCAATTCTTTGATTAGTGGGTAAATCGGGATTTGATTAATCTGAAGTGAATTATTTTTTGACACATATAATATTTAGATAGATGAATATCGTTAGATCATAAGTGTGATATGATATCTCTTCAGATCATGATAAACTCAAAAATAATCGAAATTGATGTGCCTCGTATCGCGTCGTTGCATTGAATTATGAAATTAAACGATAACGTTCGTTATACCGTTTGATTTTTTCTCTTTAAATTGAAAGGATAATGAAATAATATTTACATAAAAAAAATATTATCAAACTTGAGAGATGAACAAGCTAATAGACATGTATTTTGTTAGATCCTTGTAGCCAATTAATAGAGGTGTACTATGGATGGGTAGTATATCGAAGTTCCCCGAGGCAAGACGTGTATAATGTCTGGTGTCCATTATGCATGCGAATAGCTACACTGAAACTAAGGGCTAAGGCCCTAAGATACGAGTGTCGTCAGATGATATAAGCCTAGGTTGGCTTAGGGTTGATCAATATCTGTATTGTATTTTCGAGATTTAGGCATGAGAGCTTGCATACTATACCGGCGGACATAATTTTGGATTCTCACTATACAAGAATGAGATAATATCATGAGAACTAGAGTTGTGAGCCCTTACATACAAGGTAGGTCGGTGCCCGTGACCTTAATGCCGCGGGCAAAGATGGGTGTTGGGGCCACCCGAAATTTTATGGGTTGATGAGTTTATGAGAGTTGAGTTCCTTCTCGTCGAGTCTAGAAATGTGCAACTCTACAGAATCAAAGCTAAGAAAGACTCTCAAGCATGAAAAACTTAACCCGCGAAAAGCTGACCTCGATTAAGAATAATTTTGATGTCATACGGACAGTGCCACACGGACACGTGATTTCGGTCTAAGAAATGTGTGGCCCGTGACACCAAGCTTATCCAAGACCATATGTTTCAAACTGTCAGTGTCACGGGTCGAGATTCAAGCTCTGAACCCGTGCGGCTTCGAGATTCGGACATTCACCCTTCCGACGTCTCAGATCAGTCTTTTTATCACAGTTCACATCCTTGTGAGGTATTGTCCGCTTTGGTCCTCTTGACCTCACGGTTTTGTCCTACAAAATATGCCTCACAAGACGGAGATGGTGTGAACTCTTTTATACCCCAGTGACCCTCCTATTATGTTCGATGTGGGATTCAAGACTCCTCTTTAGGTCCGTGACATTTTCTCGCACCCAACCTCGTGACGCCCTCGTCACGGAGGCCGGCCACCTTGCCTACCTCCCTCGAGGTGCTCGGCGTGGATTGAACGATTTAGGGCTGGCTCTGATACCACTTGTCACGGGTCGAGACTTAAGCTCCGAACTCACGCGGCTCCGGGACTCGAGCTACCCTTCTATCTATAATGAGAATTCTTGTCCTTGTTTCAGTTCAGACAAGACCCCCCTGCAAAGATTCAGCAATGTTGTTCAAACAACTGGTTTAACTATGTTTGGAACCTTGGATTAACTCTTCTTGGGCCGTGCGATGATAGGCGCAAACAAGCCTAGACACCTTGAAATTGAAAGACCTAAAAAATGGAGAGAGTTGAAGAGTTGATCAAGAAAATCTAACATCAATCTGAAGGAAAAGTTACTTATTTCTTTACCAAGTTTCCGCAAAGCTAAATGTAAGGTACCGAGAAGAATATACATACCCAAAATAAAAGCTAACAAGTTACATGACTGATTGAAAATTGATGCTCTTGGCATCATTTACTCGATTCGATCAACTTTTTGTTCAAAATGCCTGGAATTCAAGCCCAGAAGAACTTCAATAGGATGCCCGTCCCACCTCCAATGGTATTGTCTCCAAAAATGGCATGTTGACAGCTGAACTTGACTCAAACAAACCAAGCTTCTCTAGGAGTTTCTTGATTAGTTCACCAACTAGGTACGAGATCCAGAAGCCGTAATCCCTTGGAAGACATAGCATGATACAGTCCGGCAGTAAGTTCTGTGTGGTTTTCTAGCATGACGTCTCCCAAGTGCAAGCAAAATTATGCAAATTAGAGAAGCACCCGCCACTGCTGCAACCTTGAGATCTTTATCATTGCTCTTACGAAATGAGAAGCCATAGAAGACAGGAGGAACCAAGCCAAAAATAAGGAATGAAAAAATAGCTAATTAGCTACAGTAACATGCAATGTAAAATTCTGTCCCGTCCTAACAGTACTTGATACCGGTCTTCCTCTATGTTGGTATCAGCGGAAGCTCCACGAGGTTGGTCATTTTTCAGTTCTCTAAGCTGTAAAATTTAATTGTAAGTTAGTCGCCAGAAATGAGATCATGAAAAACAACTGAAAGAAATTTGTCAATTCTAAAATACATAGCTATGGTTAACGACGTAAGTAAAAACTCTAAACCACCTATATGCAAGCCAGTTCAGTACTGAAAACAAGAAAGATCTAACGATGTGAAAGTGTCTGTCTCTGAAAATGCATATAGAAAAAGCACTAAAATGATAAAAATAGCCTCTGTATTTAGGAATGTGTCTGTAAGAAAGATAATTTACAAAATTCTATCCTGCATTTTAAGGCTTGGAATTTCCAAGTGAATCTAAATACAGGTCCCATCTTCGGTACAACACTCGTGGATTGACAATATATTAAATCTATTATTACATAATAAAATGTACATATTAACAGACAACTTTCAATTTTATCATGCATCATTGCTAACCGATGAATATTATTCACCGGGAAAAAAAACTCATATTATGACTAAAAGACAATAAGTCCTCCAATCAGATTTGCAAATCCCTAAGCCAAAACATTCACTGCAATTACAAAGCAAAAACTTGGTGTAAATGACAGAAGCATAAAATTATAGGCAATACTTATTATTGTGTCTGCTCCGGTAGGGGATGCTTGGCCTATGAATCTGAAAGCAAGCAAAACTACTCAAAAGAGTCAGGTATAGTATGTGGCAATGCACGGCAATGGAGCCATTATAAAATTCAAAGTTCAAATTGTTCTTTATTCTCTATGCAAGGAAATACAGCCATTATAAATCATTTGCTGGAAGTGAGAAATATTCTAGGCTATATATATGATATAAAGGATGACAGAATATGACAAAATATGCATCTACTCAAACCATTTGATGGAATCTGGAGAGGGGAAAAAGAGAGAAAACTTACCTTTATCAGCACCAACACCTGCTGCAGAAGACACAACACCTAAACCTGTGATTGATTCAATTAGTCCACCATAGACAATGCTTTTTAGAATTTCCCATTCATGAGCTTCACCACCATCGGTACCTCTCCGTTCATTTTGGGTTCTACTTTGAGATGAAGGTGCCACTTCCGTACACGGGTATGATGTCGGCTCAAGTGGCCCAGCTTCAATATCCTCTTATCTCATTGTCCCCTGCATCTTATTGCATGGTAGAAGATGCGGACAAATCAGAACTTCTACGAATGTATGCAATAGATTGCATTAGAACAATCAAGTAAATGAGTCAATAAATGTGAGAAAGCATTTTTATTCCCGTTCAAAGGAAAGAAAATTAAAGTTAAATATTCAATTAAAGGGCCCAGACACTGAGTGATTGGTTTTGCTATAAGAGCAGGCAAACACACATTTAACAGGACTAATCACCTTAAAGAGAATTATGTATGAATTCAAAGATATAGATGGTGATGAGAACTATTGAGCTTAAAAAGTTTTATTTCATATGTTGAGAAAGAGCAGGTTTGAATCCTCAGGTAATGCCAAGCAAGCACACAAAAGTCAAGGGAATCGTTAATGAGAATTTTGCTTTGAAACTAAGGTTTAACAGTAAAAAATATACTGTCATCAGGCTAATGCACAACAAAGACTCGAATTATCCAGAAAAAAAAAAAAAAGAAATACTTGAAAGGATAACAAAAGATTAGAAACAGAGAGGAAAACATCAACACAATAATTCAAAGGCAATCTGAAACCTTCTAAGCAACTACAAACTCCATACAAAGAGAAAA